TTTTTGGCTATTTTGGAAGAGGGACAATAGGCTTTCTGCCTTTTGCTGTAAAGAAAAAGGTGAAAAGGCTCACAGTTTTCTGGGCTTTTGGTTTTGTAGGGGTTTTGTGTGTATTTCCTCCTGTTTTGTGTTATTCTCTCTCTCTAAAATATTGCTTTGCTTATCACAGCATTTGTGCATATATGTGCCTTCTCACCCTCTTGAGCAAGTGGGAACCCGCATGACTGATCTTAAGATGGAGAACTGTCATGGTGCACGATAGAGTCCCACTTCCCAAGAGGGAGCTGTGCCAGCTGATGTGTCACAGAAGTGCTAGGGCCCATTTGAAACAATAGGTGATTTTCAATAGTGAACGGATCTTCTCTGAAATGACCATATAAGTTTAGGAAAGAGAGTGTATCTTTATACTGTTGGGTTTTTTTTCCATGACTGTAGGAAAAGGAAATATTTTAACCTCTGGTCTGTCTGATGTCCTGCTGTTCTGGAGAACATTTTTTGTATCGCTAAGGCTAAGACCTTAGCCTGTCACATAGACATCCCTAGAGAGCAAGGCTGATGTGCTGTTGAGACCTGAGTTGGTCTGGAAGTAGCTTGCAGCCTTTGCTGGACCAGTCACTGGGCTGTCACTCAGCATCGTGATCTGTGTGGGCCACTTCACCCTCCTTAGGTGGGCTTTGCTGCTCTTGCTCATGTTTGTGCTGCTTTACCTAGACATGCTGCCTGACCACGGTCACTGTGCCACTGCTGTGAACTTGTCCTCAGCTTTTTTTGGTTTGTCCTTTTGTTGTTGCTGCGATTTGAAAGAGCATTATGAGATGTTCTCACTTAGTGTTTCTGGAAGCTGGAATCCTTTTTGTGCATAGGGTGGGTGGAAGAGAGAGCACACAGAGGACCTCCCTATCATCCCATCCCCAAGTGGCTACAGCTAGGAAAGAGAGACTGGGTGTATCTTGATGCCATATCTATTCTGGGAACTTCTAGATGAACTTAACGCTATGTTTATTCCGCTGGAGCTGGAAAATAACTTCTGGGCTTACAGTGCTGGTGGGGAACTGGCTTTTAAACAGATGTCCAGGTGTGAAAATTGACTCATTTACCAAACTGCTCAAGAGATGCTCCCACCTTGGAGATACTCAAAAGCCATCTGAACATGGTCTTGGGTAACCAGCTCTAGGTGGCCCTGCTTGAGCAGGGGGGTTGGACAAGACGACCTCCAGAGGTCCCTTCCGACCTCAATTATTCTGTGATTTTGTGAAAGCCTGGTTTGGTGTTAAGGGCTCGACCCAACCCTTCAGCTGAGAGTTTTGTCATCTTCATCCCAATCCATCCTTCTTCTTTCTTCTTCCTTGTTTATAGTATGACTTAATGACATGCAACACCAATAGCAGTGGATGGTGTTGTAAAATAAGTAGCACCATGAGACACTGTCCTCACTAATTAGTGAATGAGTGAGTGAATTCACTGGCAAGGGTAGACTGTGTCTACAGCAAATGGCTTTCTCTTGTTACACCTTTGCTCGTGAATGCAAATTAGTGAGCTTGTATTTAGTGAACAATTATTATTTTATTATGATACACTAACTTTTTCTTCTCTTGTAGGTAGCGTTCATTGCAGTAGAATACCATTACTTTGATTCACATGCAGTCAGATGCACTTTGCTGTTTTTATAAGTCATTAAAGCTCACCGAGTCTGGGGTTTTGTTCTGTTTCCCATGCAGTGCCTGTGGTGTTCGGTTTCCAGTAACACATGGTGTTTATATTCATGGCTGGCATTACCGTTGTGATGGTGATAGGGTTTGTGTTTCGTGCCTTGCTTGATTTATGTTGTGGCTGGCGTGCATGGCACGCACATGTCTCGAAATAGAACATGACTGGTTTTTTGTTTTTACATTAGAAGCACTGATGATTTAATTTAGCATTTTGAATAATCCTGCATTTGCAGGGAAACCTGGCTGTGTCATGTCCCTCCTTTGATAACTCTACTAGCTTCAGACATTTAAGGCTGCACTTCAAAATCACTCTCTGTAGGTGTGTGTGGGTTTTAAATGTCTCATGTGGGTTTCCTGCTTCCCACCTTGTCCTTAGCTCTTCCTACTCCTTACGTCGTTCTTTGCTTTCTGCCAAGATCTCTCCCCTTCCCTTTTGCTAAGAACCTTCTCCTTTGCCATCCAAAAGATCCTGTGATGCTTCTGCCTCGGGGTATGTTAGCGGTGCAGCCACAGCAAGGATCACCTGAATTACAGCAGCTAGTTTGAAATGTCCTGCAGTGGTAGCACCCAAGGTGCAATAGAAGGGACCTGAGCACAGACTGTGAAAGCAGCCCAAGCTGAGCAGGCTCACACTGCTGACCTCTGGGATGTTACACTGAGGCTTCTGCTGGTACCTGAGCTGCCTGTCCGTGTGTACCTTAACTATTCTGTGAATGCATTACAGACCAAAAAATAGGAAAGCTAAGCTCAGCACTTTGGGAATTTTCTCCTCTTGGCTCTGCATCTTAGCTGCTCCTAGCTCCATTTCACCTCACTCTGCCTTTGCAGCTATGCGAAGCACTCTGCAAAAAGCATCTAGATACCCTGCTCTTGAAGGTCTCACAGTCCACAGTGGTGGTGGTGGTTTTGGTAAGGGCCAAGCTCAGGCACAAGCTGGCATTCTGGTGGCAGCGGCAGCTAGACCTGTGTGCTCAGCCTGTCCTATGCTGCCTGGCAGCCCTGGGCTCTAGGGCTCAGGGGTGCTCCAGTCTGTGCATATGCCTTTCCAGCTCCCTTCCCTGAGTCTTGGGCAAGAGCAGGCAAGTACTAGGCTGGCCCCTAAGCAGAGGGAAGGATGGCAGGATCTGGAAGCTACCCAAGCTCCTTTTCGTCTTTCTTCCCTGTCAGCATCATGAGCCACGTAAGGCACAGGCACAAAACTGAGTTTGCCTTGTACAGCTATGAAATCTTAAGCCAGTTCTTGCTGGAAATAGGAGCTGAAATAGGAGCTTAGGAAAGTATTCACCTCTACCCTATAACACAATTTGTGGTACTTTTCAACCAAATTAAACAGAAGTAATTTAAAAAAAAACTTATAAAATGAATAACTCCCCTTTTCTTGCCTGTCTTTCCCAGAAATAAACCATTTTTTTGTCTTTTTTGAGGTCATACCCTGGTTACTGCTGGACAAAACCCAATCAGATGGTAAATCTGAAGGCAGTGACGGAGTGGAAAATATACCAAGAGCTCTGAAGGCATTACAACATTTTAATTACATGCTAAACTGGTTTTTCCACAAAGCCGTAGCCTTCCAGATGAAGGGACCCAGGGCTGATAATAGTTGCTGATGCCCAGGCTGCAGATTGTGTGGTCAATCCCTTCCAGTCAGCTTCAGCTAATAGTACTTTTAAAGCACTGCCTTACTTATCTCATGATATTTTATAGCTATAACAATTATTTCATTTGGCCTTTTGTTGACCACTGTCATTTACCCCACATTTGGCACAAGGAAGGCCTGTTACTGGCATTGTGTTCCCACTAGCAAGGAAATGTCTTGCCCTATGAAGACTGACAAATAGTTGGCTTGAGTTGTGCCCTTCATCACAATCATCCATCACCATCGTCCTTTAATAAAATCTTTTCATTGCTAAGCATAGTCTGACACAAAGACTGAAGTGTGGAATAAGGACCTAAGGGTAGTGGGGAAGCTGTGTGTTTAAACTCTGAAACTCCTAGTCTGGGTAAGATGCACTGGCAGGACTGGGAGATGCTCCTGCAACCTCACTGCATGCATGTTGTGTGTGTAAGGAGATACAGCAGGCTTCGTTTTTAAAGAAAAGCTCTGACTAAACACAGGATGAGGATCCTGTGCTTTTCCCTGATGGCTCTTGTAAGAGAAATCTACTTTTTTCCTAGTTGCTTCCAGGCTGTTGGGTATTTTACAGGAAGAAGGCTGAATTTAAGGATTACTGGGGCTAATAACAAAAGGAACAGAAGGGGCATGGCACAGCACCACGTACACTGGTCCCCATTCCTCCCTTGCGAGTCATTAGCAGGGTTGGGAGCAATAAACCTGGTTGTTGTCTCTGCTGCTGGAGCTGCAGTGCTAAGCAGGAGCGTGTGGAGGGAACAGATTAGGCAGGAGGAGTATAATGTGATTTAGTGGCTTTCAGAGCTCTCTGTTGAGAGCAGAGGACAGAAAAGCTTCAGTCTGGGTTCCTGTTTGCAAGGACTGTTTTCTCTGACGGTCATGTGCTGTTCTTTCTCCAGTCTTCTGCCACAAATGTGTCTTTCCCCTCTCTGTCTGCAGTTCCCAGATCACTGCTCTGTCCTCTGCCATACCCTGATGAGGTTTTCCATTCCCTGCAGCCCGTGTGTCCCAGGCAGTGTCTTCTGATAGCTCAGTGGCATAGCTATTTGGCTGCAGAGCAGGTCACACAGCTGTCTCAAGCCTGTAATGGAATGTGCTCAAATGCTGCAAGAGGTGCATATGTTACTTGGTTAGCTGACATGGAAGAGGGGCAAAGGGATGGACCGTGCAGGTAGATGCCTTCATGTTAATCACAAAGTGTGCAAAAACTGAGTTGTGCAAAGGACTTAACATGTAACCAATTCTGAGTAGGTTTTCATATAAAGAGGAAAAGGCGTGTGCCAGGTGAAGCTCTTCCCTTTGTTGCAAAGAGTCATGTCCATGTTCAAGAGTGAGAAGAGACCTGAAGCATTTAAAAAAATACTTGTAATTCATTCCTTTACTTTAGATAAAACCAAACTTCTTTTTCCTTGACTTCCCTCTCCAAAATTATCAAACTGACTTTGTTGAAATTGTTTCATACATCCCTCTTTCCTCAAACAAAACACTAATTCCGAGAAGCATCTCATGTAAATGTTGGCTTCCTAACAGGGGCATCTGACAATGTTAGCTTCCCAGTATTGCTACCGGCTCGTGTGGAGAATGCATTTCTGATTCCCATCATGCAACTTTTCCAGGTTTTATTCTCATAATAAACCCTTTTGTAGTGCTTATAATTGTAGTTTTCTAGAACTTGGCCAGAGAGCTGCATATGGAGCTGCAACTGTGCTGTCCTTGGAAGTGCAAGACAGGGATCAAGATGAAGAAGATAGCAGGTGAATTTGAAAAAAGAGCAATTTGCTGGTCACCCGTAGAAGATTACAAGTTTGAGAAAATGTTGTAATCAAATAGTTTCAATTTGAAAAGGCATAAATCTATGCATAGGTTGGCTCTATAGATCTCTGCTGATTACTTCATTTGCCTGGCTGAAAATACTGCCGCAATTAAACTTCTAGGAATGTCTGATCCATTTATCTGGCGTGATAGTAATGGGGAATGGAGGGGGCAACCTTCAGTCATTTATTCATGTTTATTAGGACACTATGCTAGGACTAATTTTCTGAATCAGGCATGAGAAGGCAGCTCAGGGCATCCCTGTGTGGTATTTTCAGATAACACCCATTGCTATCTGAACATCAGAGCAGCAATTGCTCTGTATTCCTCCTGTTATAACATGGCTGTTACAACACACACACAGGCAAAGAGTGTGAACATGTCCACAAGTGAGGAATTTGCAATTTGCTCCATGCTGGAAGAGGAACATGCTTGCAACAAGATACATTTTGTTACTGCCGCAAGAACTGGAGACATTTCCTATTTGTACATTACGTATTAACACATACTTAAGTTGCTTAGCGAGCAACATAGACATCTCTAAGATTTCAGTTGATTTCAAGTGTCTTTCTTCGGGAGGTTTACTTTTGTTTGTGAATATGTGAAAACTTGATTTATTTTTTGTGTATTTTCTCAAGTGTTTAAAAAATGGCAAAGTATATTTTGATTCAGACATCCCTACATTCCTGTCTCGCTTTTTTCTTGTACATTTTAGCTTCAGTCTGACTAACAAAGAAATATTTAATGCAATATGTTTGGTTGATGATTTAGTGGAGTTGAAATGTAGAAGGAAAAGATGAAAAGCATGCCAGAATTGAAATGTGTTTCAGGATTTTTGCAAAAAATGCTTGTGAAAATATTTTTATTGTCTTTGCTTTCTGTCTGAAGACATTGCAGGGAATTCCAGCTGAAAACATAGCCTCTGCAATTTGCCTAAAACATGTTGGAGTTTTATTTTACAAAGAAGAAACAATTCCAAAGCACTTGTTATTTACACTTTTAATTTATTTTCCTATTCAAGTACAGCTTGATGCAATAATCAACTTCAAAGAAGAAATCAACTTGATAAATGTTCCAATATACAAGTATAGCTTATGAATTTTATATTTATATAAATGTGCATATATACATTTTATCTTATATCTGTATAGACATAATCTGGTGTTTGTTTTACTGAATAGTTTTAAATTTAGCATAATGGCTGTGTTTGCAGATCAATATTTTCAATGTTGTAATTATCAATTAGAATATTTTTCTAGTTAAAAAAAAATCTTTGCAGTGCAAAAATTCATTAATTGAAATCAAGGAATCATTATTACTACTTGTGATTCAAATAATTGTGCTTTCAAAACAGTCCACGCTGCTTTCAGAGGGCTTTCCTGGTCCATCCTGGACAGATGGGAGCAATTTGGTTTCCCTGTTGCATTCCCTCTGCAATAGCAGAGGTTTGCCTCAGTTGGCAAGGGTGACGCTTGTTGTTCGGCAGAAAGTTGGGCGATGACTGCTTGCAGCTTTAGTGAGAGCAGCTCCTGAGCACTGTAGGTGTATATTTTTATAGTGTTTCAGGGGCTGAGCCAGCTGGAAGGTGTGTTACAAATGGGAGGTTTCATTTCTGTAGCTGTTTAGAAGCTGAGCAAAAAAAAAAAAAGCAATGAGTGAGAAGCGTGCACAGCTGGGAGATGAGTAGAGTAGAGTAAATCAGTGTAGATTTCCTTCTCCAGTGAATGAAGAGTATAAAAGCCGGATGGTAGGTCTTCACCAGGACAGCCAAGTGTGTTAGGGCATGTCCAGCCAGCCCTGCTGTGCCCAAGCCTTCACCCCGGCAGCATGCGGTGCCATCGCACCCGGCTCTGTGCATTTATAACATTGCAGGAACGTGTCTGCCAGGCACAGGGTACAGGGCAGGGTGCTGCCAGCCACAGGGCTGGGGTGCGCGCATGGAAGCAGATCACCAAAGCGGGAGTGAAAGCTGTGGTAGGCAGGTTAAGGTTATTCACTAGAGAGGGAATTTATTTTGTGGCTGCACTTTGGCAGTGGGGGAAGCAGGCAGAGGAGTGTGGTTTTTCTGCAGCAGAATTAAGACACAGGCAATGTTATTGAGCTGAGAGGCTGAGGAATGTGACCAAACTGGGTAAGTGTTGATTTTATAGCTGGGCTAATCTGGTCATTGTGTAGGAGTGCCTTGATGTTAATGATGGCTGATAGCATTATCATGCCACCACCAGCTCCCAGTGTACTGTATATTTTCTGGACATGGAGCAGGGGTGGGGGGTGAAAGGCTTGTGGAGTTTTCTCGCCCTTTCTAATCTCTGGAGGGGATGAGGCCATGCCCCTCAGGGCTTTACGTGTGATAGAGGCTGTAGCATAAGGTGGCATTGGGGTACTCATTTTCTTGCTGTTATAGGGCTGGGACACCCCTACATGCCTTCCCATCCCTGGACTTCTACCCCAGAACTTACACAAATATCATCAACAAATTTTGTGACACTTTCATATTTTTTTTTCTCTTTTTTCCCAAGCATCCTCTTTGCAGACATAGAGGGTTTCACAAGTCTGGCCTCCCAGTGCACTGCTCAGGAGCTGGTCATGACGCTGAACGAGCTCTTTGCCAGATTTGATAAGCTAGCAGCTGTAAGTTTTCTATTATAATTCTGATATATTTTTTTTCCTGTTGCAAGAATGGCATACTGTGCTGGTTCACTGGATTTCTGTAAATAATCACTGCCCTAAAAGGCAAGCTATTGCAAGCATGAATATAAGCTGAATACTTCTCTCTCCTTTATTATTATTTTTATTATTTTTTTTTTAGGAGAACCACTGTTTACGTATCAAGATCCTGGGTGATTGCTATTACTGTGTGTCTGGGTTGCCAGAAGCAAGAGCTGACCATGCACACTGCTGTGTTGAAATGGGAATGGATATGATAGAGGCCATCTCGTAAGTACCATATTCCCCATGGAGAATTTCAGAACAAATAGCAAGTAGATTCTTTTTCCCGTTAGGTCTTCCTTACATTAGTAGCAAGGTAGCCAAACCAGGGAACTGATGCCAGCAAAAAGGGACACCAGCTGGAACAAGAAAACAAAATGCCGTAAAGGTTTGACAGCAGAAAGACAGACACTTGAGTCCATTACAGCCATGTGGATATCAGAGCTCAATCTCCTGATGAGAAAGGCAAAGGTTACTATAATTACTGGAAGTCTCATTCCCAAAGGGGGATTCCAGTGAATTACAGAAATGTGAAATCAGAGAATTAATAATAACTTTATTGAATTTCAGTCACTCTTCACTTATCTGTCTTTAAACCAGCTTTTTACTCACCTTACAATTCCTCTGCTAAGGTCTGTCTTGTCTCATTTAAGTTATCCTTCTCCATGTGTCCCTATGCCAAAAAGGTCAGATTCAAGACTTTCTTACTTTAGTTAAATTAATTATTGAAGAAAACCATAAAGTTGGTCTGGCACAGACTGGGACAAATCCGTGGTGCTTTTTCCTTTATTTCCACTTACTTCCCCATCTTTATTTTTTTCTTTTAAAATCTGTTCTGAAGCTTTGCCTGCTCCTGAGGTCAGACTAGCAATCCTGTGTTTGTCCAGACCATTCCTGTCTTTAGAGAGTAACAAATATGAGACCAATATCTAGTTATATTACTTGTTGCATATTGTTTACATCGGACATGATCTTTCTCAGGCCAATTCTTTCAAAATTCAGGGAGGGAAGATTTATTTGGTCGTCTTGAGTGTGTGCAAGTTTAGGCACAAAGTTCAGGCAGTTTGGGATGGTAGCTGAGCTGACCTTAATGTCTACACCATCCCTGCTGCACAGAGACTCTGCTTCTTTTTCCCTTCTCTTCTAGTTTTTTATTTTGTGAAAGCATCTTCTAAAGTATCAGTGGTACCAATAGAGAAGTAGAAGATCTCTATGCAGTTCTCCTCTCATCCCGTTCAGTAAATTGATGGAGTTTCCACTTCATCTTGGTAAAAACTAAAGCTACCTACTTGCTGAGCTTGATACAGTACATCCTTCCTTTTGAATTTCTGCAAGGACCTGAATACATGCCCACACTTTTCAGCCTCATTTTCGTGACATAGATACATAGTTTGAAAAGCAGTGTTTTCACCTAGCAGATCCCATTCAAAGAGCAGTACGCAGCAGCATTCCCTTGCTTTGTATACAGTGTAGACTGTCAGGACTTCCTAGCTTTACTTTCCTGGTTTTAAACTCTGTTGCTTTGCACCAGTTTCCTTTTGGGGTTTGTATGCAAAATGCAAAATAAAAGGAGTTGCAAGTAACTAGCCCTTGAAAGGATGCTATTTCTTCCACATGAAGTACAATTAAGTGCCAGGTGACATGGTGTCTTGTCAAACACGAGAAGCAACAATTCTTAGCCACCAGCCCTACAAAGAAGATACTGTGTACATTGCCCAGAAAAATCTCACTTTCTGCAGTAGTTGGCCTGATGAAATCCAGAGACCTTGACACGTTGCTGTGTAATCCCCCACAAGGCTGAGTAACACCAGGATGTCTAGACTTCATTGATTAACTGCAACCCACCTTACCTCGAAATAAACATGGAGCTGAAGTGCACTCAATGTTTGTTTACAAATAGCTCTTCAACAGCCTTTAAAACTTGTTTCCCCACTTGATGTATGATGAATGCATTTAACAATCTTATCTCTTAATAAGTCTGGAAGGTGATTCTGTTCTCACTACCCCTGCTTCTCCCCACACCTCCTCCTCCCCTAAGGATCAAGATAAGAGGTTTCACAATTAAAGTAACCAATAGCTACTGAACATTTGATTGCAGGTAACAAATAGCTACTGAACATTTGATTGCAGGCTTCACCAACACTGGGCCCTGCCCGTAGGCTGATTTAATCTGTGCACAATAACAGCAGGGAGCCTTACCCCAGATCAGAAAGGTAAAATTATATTCACTCTACTGCTGGTATAAATGAACTAAAACAAAAGGAAGGTAACAAAGGATATTTCATTTGTCTATAAAGGATAACCAAACTCATTTGTTTGCTGCAAAGTCTGGAGAAAGTCACCTTCTCATCAACAACTCTACTGGGAGAAGTTCCCTGGTCTTGTGTCAGTAACATGGCTTGGCAGAGAGTGCAGTAGGGTTTGTAGCACTCGTGCAGCATGTTCTTCCTCCCTCCCCAGTGCTGTACCCACACTGCAGCTGCTGTTGTCCTCGCAAGGGTTATGGCTGCAGCTGCATTTTCATTACCCCAGTTCCTGTTGCTTGCCCAAGTGTTGTGGTTGGAGCTTTTTCAGTTCGTAAGCCTGTGGCACCTTACCCATATGCAGCTTCCCTTCCCTGCTAGAGAATCTCTGCTGCTTGGTAATAAACTTAATGAATGTCACTTCAGTAAGTAGATAGTGAAACGTAGGATAGGGCTTGTAAGGAAAAAGGAACTGTAAGAGGGTAGGAGCTGTTTCAACAAGAAATCATCTTGAACAGTCTTTTAAGGGGCATATTACACTGTGAGGAATGAACTAGAGTCCAGAGTTGGTCTATCTTTAATCATTCATTTTCATTAATAACTAAAGCATAAATATTAGATCTGTGTTGATGTTAGGAAGTTGGGAGGACTTACCTGTCCAGAGGATGTTATCTAGAAAGGACTAGTTGAACCTGAAAACCAAAGAGGATGAAATCTGATAGGTATAAAGTACAACTTCATGCTGCAAGGAACTAACAACTCCAAGGAAAGGACTGTGCTATGTGATGTAGGTGAATTTGCCAATGAAACATGGGCAGTCTGGGAATGATGTGATCAACAATAACGAGAAGCAGAGTTGTTCTGATGGCCTCATCAAGACTTTCCCTTACCCACATTCCTAAATGAATTTTCCATGTGAACAGCTCTTGAAGTTAACTTTTGCCCTAAAAGGGCAAAACCCACAAAGTATTCCAGCAGTCATTTTGGGAGTAAGCAGAGCATCCAAAACCTCATTAAAATCAGAGCTTGAGTATTTGTAGCTGCCTGATTGGAGTGACTGCAATAGATGTGGTTCTCTGGTTTTGCTGCTCTGACTGCAGCTGTAAGCCCCGTTCAAGCTTTCCAACTGCAGTGGGGTATTTCACACACATATCATATTTCATTTGTGGAAGAGTTGGTGCTTGGTGCCATACAGACAAATTAAGATCTCTGAAATAATTTCCTTTTTCCCTTTGCAACATGCTATTACTCTTAATGAGGCTGAGTGCTGGCAGGTTATGTCCAGCTTTGGTATGGAGACCAGCACTTTATTCCTTTTACTGCCCCAAAGATTTTTTTTTTATGAGTTCTCAACTTGACCATGAGTTCAGAGTACATGGATTTACTCCAAGGGCTCCTTTTTCTAATTAGTACTCTGCTTGGCCAGCCAGGCCATCCAAAAGCAGTAGAGCTGGTCTGGTTTTGTTTTGTTGTCCTGTTGATGTGGATGAGCAGCACCATGTGCATGCATGAATAATTTATGGGTCAATATGGATTTTTGTGTTCTGGGTGCAAGTTTGTGCCACCAACTACAACCATGAAGTTCTTAGTGATGTCCTTTTTTCCCATATCTCTTTTCAGACTAGTCCGGGAGGTGACAGGAGTAAATGTCAACATGAGGGTTGGAATCCACAGTGGGAGAGTTCACTGCGGGGTCTTGGGCCTTAGGAAGTGGCAGTTTGATGTGTGGTCCAACGACGTTACATTAGCCAACCACATGGAAGCAGGGGGCAAAGCTGGGTAAGTTGCTTCATCAAAACTGTCGTGTTAATCCGTGTGTTGTTTTGTGTCTGACATGTCACAGTGAGGTGGGGAAATGGAGAACAGAGGTTCAGAGAGTCTGTATGTCTGCTGTAAAATGAACTGTGGGTGTAGTGTTTTAAACATGTACAAATGTGAGCAAGATTATTCTGTTCCACGTCTACATGTTTTTGGTTACAGAAAGTCTACAAAATCCCAAGATGGGCATATCCTTTTGTGGTAAGAACTGAATTCCTTCTCTGTGAAACAAAGCTGATAGATACAACAGAAATGAGCGGGTCTGTGCGAACACTAGCAGAGCTGGTGCTGATTACAAAGAGATGTGACCATATGTTAACAGCGTTTGGTGGGGAGCATCCCAGCTATCGATGGATATTGTATGAAGCGTTGTTTCAGACCAGCCTTTTGTTTTGAAACATTCCTGTAAGAGAGCAGAATTGGTTCTTGTTTTACCACTGTATGGACCAACTGAAGACTGAGTTGCTGCCACGTTGACTCTGTGAGATAATTTTTCTATGTGCCTTTCCATGTTTTCTCTGCTCTGGAAGAAAGCATAAGACTATGGTACTTGATAGGATACCTCTACAAGGCGCTCTTGTACCACAGAGATTAATGTGATACAACAAAAAAGATACATGCTACAGTATATATTACACGTGTCCACTGAGTAGACATGTCCTTGTGAAGGGCCTGTATTTGCCAAAAAAATACATCTGCTGTGTGTTAGAGCAAAGTGAATAAAAGAATGAATGCTTTATATCTAAAGATATAAATGGATGTTATATGTATATATGTTATATGTAAATGGATGCTTAACGTGAACACCTCTCTCTTTAAGAAGATGCCTCCTGGCCTGCTTCCTTTGAAATAGATGAAACCCTCGTACTACATCTGTAAGAGTAGTGGCATGGCTAAATAAACTGGTTTTTATTGCTTGTTTGTTCCAGTATATGGAACCTATCACTGACAGGAACTGGCTTTTTAGGTGATAGCTTTTCAGAGCCTACAAAACTGGCTTGTCTTTTGTCTCATTTAAGGCGCATCCACATAACAAAAGCAACCCTGAACTATCTCAATGGAGACTATGAGGTGGAGCTGGGCTTTGGAGGGGAACGCAACGCTTATCTGAAAGAGCACAGTATTGAGACCTTCTTGATTGTACGGTGCAGCCAGAAACGGGTAAGACCAAACAAAGTAATGCGGGTCTAGATACTTTTAATAACTAGATGGTCTCCAACACACCAAAGTAGAGCGAACACCAGCCTTTATAGATGAGTGAGTTGACTACCTGACCTTCAGTGACAAAAATTCCTCTCTCTCCTCTTCCTGAACTTTTGCATGTGTAAAAGGGAGTGTAGCCACCTTCTGCATAAGGTTTCTGCACCAAGTACTTTCTAGTTCTGTCAAAGAAACTGTCCTGAGTTGTTTTCAAAATAAATTTGAAGAATGTTGTTAATATAGATGGTATTTTTTCAATTAAATTTGATACTTGTACAAGTTCTTAAAGCAACAGATTAAAACCACGAAGATCTCTTCTCTGTCAGATTACAGACAGAGGTGGTTTTTTGCCAACCTGCTCACCATATTGCCATAACATAAAGATTAGAGCAGTTCTTATCATTACTTTTCAGACTCTGTTTCTGAAGATGCAAAAATCTGGCCCACTGTAATGATGGATGATCACTGTGACAGTGGGATGAGATCATACCTACTGCTATGACACAGGTCAGGCTGCACAAAAAAAGGCTATTAGGGCATTACTGACTTGAACTTGAGTCAAGTAAAACTCAAGTGGACTTCAGCCGTATCTTCTTTTTGTGACACTGCCAATAACAGAGAATAGTTCTGTTATCACTAGTTTGTGTTCTTTTGAATAATGGTAGACTGTAATAATAGAAAAGGACCTTTTTAATCATCTAGTTGAGCCTAGCCAGTAATATTTGTCCAAGTAATTTCTGCAGTATAGACACTACTTTGCTATTCACAGTACGGGCAAGCATATAAAGATTGGCCTGAATTGAAAAGAATTCAAATATTTCTGAATCTAAGACCAATTAAACCTTCCCACAACTGTAAATATGACTACCATGAGATTAAATGAAATAGTGTTTGTGACATGTTCCAATAGCATGGTTGATTTGCATAACTATAACACCTATCAAAAATACTTTGCTACCATTGCCTCATTTCCTGAGAGAATGGAAGCCTCACATCTCCTTAATGGATATTGTGTAAAAAATCTCCAAGAAAATCCCTTATCATCTGCTAAAGAGAGAAGCTGATGTTTTGATTTCTATCTGCTCATAAGATAAATCTCATTAACAATTGTCAATCTTCAAAAGAGGATTAGAGCTTGCTGTGCAAGATTATTGTTTCCTGAGCATCGCTTCCTGTCAGTGGGCCAGCTGATGTTTATACCTAAGCCACTTTTTCTTTGCTGGGTAGATTTAAGAACATAAACCAAAATACCCTTATGGTCAGGCCCCATCTTCTGGGGTAGAGAAGCTATATTGACTTCTTAAATCATGCACTCACCAAGTTGTCTGCATGTTCTTGTGGAGAACTGAAGGTTTCTCTGGAGAGAAGAGGAGGACCTAAGATCAGGATTCTGCTCCTGGCCAGTGTAGACAAAAAACCTCAAAAACAGAGACAAGAGCACTTGGGACTTGACTTCATTTTTGAACGCAGGGCTGTCTTTTGACTAGGAGATTGGACAGAGACTCGGGAGAGATGTGGATTTCATTCCAGACTTAGATTTTGAGGAACTTCCATCTTTGTGCCTTGATTTTCCATGGTAAAATAAAATGGGTTCCCTCCCCCCCATTCTTTCAATGCTTTATATGTATTTATTGCAGCTCTGTTACACAGTGTAGCCCTTAGCTGAAGTCTCTACGCGCTGCTATAATGCTGCTCTAAAGTGCTGCATCCCAGAGTAGCTAAGAATTGGGACAAGCACATGGCCTATGTAATTATTGTGCTAAATTGAAACATAAAGGAACTGCTACCCAACGTCATGGATATTAGCGTTTAGAGTTTGAGGGGCTCCTGGTTTGCCCATACTGCTGCAACTTTCTTGCTCCCATAGCCATTTTCTATCCCTTTGTCAATAGTTTAAAGTTCTCTCTCTCTTTAAAAACTCATTGTCACGTAATATGAAGATCAGAAGTGAGAAAAGCTTTCTCCCACAGTCAGCTCAGTCAGTCTTGAATATTTTGCCTGATGCTAGGCAAAGTTCTAGCACTTCACTTTTTCCTTCGATTTCTGCTTGATTTTAATGACTTCTTGTGATGTATTTAGCCAGGTTTTCAGTTCAGTCTGTTCCAGTAATGGCCGTAAAATGTTCACCTAACTTAGTAATGGGATCCTGTGAGTCGTGCCTGGGTTCCTGTTATCCTCACACACAAGCCACAGGATTTGCATTGACCTGAGAGCAGATGCACAGTAGACCCAAGTAACTGTTTGCCTGAGCTATTCCTCAGTTCACACAGGTAGACTTGAATTATCTGAATACCTGGTCCATCAGTCCCACAGCCATCGAAACCCAACAATACCAGGAGTTACAATGAGTGTGTGAAATGTAACGGCATCTGTTCCATACCCTTTCTGCTTACCGTTGCCATGGGGAGCCATAACTTTGAATTTCCTGTCTTTTTTTGTTTATTTGACTTTTCATCATGTTAATGGCTTTTCTTCGGCACAGAGTAAATGGGAGGAACATTTATCTAATATTTTTGTTCCAGGAACTCAGACTAGCTCCTTTTTTGAAAATAAGTTTTCTTCCTTGTTAAGGATGCTGTTAACTGGAATATATTTAATTGAGTTTTAGGGGGAAAAAAGCTAGGTTCTGATCACTCAGCCTTTAAATAACATCCCTAGAGCTGAAAATGTAGTCCTTGTTTTCTATCTGGTACACAGAAGAGTTGCTTTCTATTGAAAGAGAATAAACTGCAAAGTTGCAAAATCTAGTCTTTTAGGTTTCTCTCTCCTCATCTTTACCTCCAGATCCACTTTCACCTTTCTGTTTGCCCTGTCTTGTGATGTTGCTGCTCATGTGGGTGAGCACTTGCCTGTGAAGAAGGCAGTGCTCAGATACCCCAGAGCAGTGCAGGAGTTACTTTATTACTGCAGTGTTATGTTCCCCTAGATAAAAGGTTTTGTGGGTTTTTTTGAAAGCATAGATCCAAAGTTCCAAATTTGTTTTTCTTGTGTTTGCTTTCAATTCCTTAAGCTAGTGTTTTGATAATTAAAATATAAAACAGCCTTAACTGTGTGAGATACAAAGGGTGCCATGCATTTCATTGTAATGTGAACCTATATATATATACACACATATACATATATACAAGTTTATATATATAAAGTAATTCTTGTCATGAAATTAGCAGGCTCCACCATAAAGGTCTGTTGAATCTTTTGCTGTGGTTTGTTTGCTCCCATTAGTGCTAACAGTGGGCTGCTCTAAAACTTGGTTGCTCAGGTCCCTGGTTGCTCTGGTTGTCTGGTGTCTGCTGTCAAACAGCAACTGTATCCCGTCTCTCCCCCTCAGCCTTTTTTCTCCTAAGACAAACTCTTCTAATGTCTTCTCACAACAAAGAAGAGACAAGCACAAGCTCTCACAGCAAGCTCTTCACTTTCGTGATCATCAAAGGAAAACTTTACCTTTTGCACAGTTGCATTATCTTGGTGTCTGATATTTATTCTGTGATGAACTAACATGATTCCTGATAATTAAGTGAAGTTTCTGACTGTAATCTCTAAGTCAATGATCATGCATTTTGTACACTTGAATGTCTCAGGTCCCATTTCTACTATGTTAGTCCTCAAATGTCAGGTGCTAATACTCCTTTTTTTCTTATCTATCAAATACTACCTCTGCTTCTCTCATAAGCAAAGTCTGTCATTGCTACACTTGGTGCCAGATGCGGTAAGAAAAAAATTAAACAAAATCTGCTCCGAGACTGATCATTGAGTAACTCTGCTAGTAACTTTCATCCAGCCTAATACTTCCTCATTCAAAACCATCTCTTGCCATTTCATTGGAAACCAGCTCTTTGCCCAGCTTCGTATCCCCCGTCTGTCTTAGCTATAAGTCTCCACCACAGCACTCTGTCAAATGCTCTGTGGAAAAAACAAGGCCAGTGAGAGCTACTGTATTTTGTCTGTTTAGAAAAACTTGGATGCCCTCAAGGCTGTTAATCCAAGCCCAGCATTTGCTGCTCTACAAGTCCTGTGTCATGATCCTTGACTAAATAGTTATTAAAAGTATCTGTTACCAGAACTGAAAATGCAGTTGGCAGTTTTGCACAAATCTGGGATGGAGGTTGTCCTTCTGACTTCAGCACATCACACTTAAGTTTTGCTTCCAGTTTAGTCATGTTTTCCGTTTATAACCCTACGCTTATGATCCCTCTTCTCGTTTGCCTCTACTGTGGCAGTAGTGATTATCTGAAGAGAAATAATCTGTTTCTTCAATTCTAGAGTAACATAGATTTTTTAAGTTTCTGTTATCCTCGTGTGATACAGGTTGACTTACACAGGGTGACTTCTGTCCTTACTCAGTATTTTTCTCATTCATTTGGATGTGTGTTTCTAATGGACTTAATACCTTAGCATGAAAGAAGTACAGGAAATCTCCAAGGAGATCTTTGCCTTTCCTCCATTACTGGCTTTGCATCTTCATTCTTTATCTGAAAGTCTGTGTTTCCAGATAAACAGCAAATTATCAGCTAGAATTACTAATACTATTACTCAGATCTTTACTGATGCTTAAACTTAAACCCGAGGCATTGTAGTGAACTACCCAGCATTACTCAGTACGTCTTTATCCTCTACAGAGTGGTTCTCTTTTATTCTTGTTATACCTTTGTTTTTTTAAGTTTACCCTGCAGTTCCTAACGCACAGCTCTGTATCTCCACCTCCACAACTTTTATATCTGTCCTTCTGCATTTTATTCAAAACGTCTATCCCGGTCATTACTGCTATCCTGTCACATCCCTGCTATTCTTACAGTACTCAGTTTAATTATTGTTGTAGTATCCAGTAGTCCCAGTTATTGTGCTGCCTGAGTTTCTAGAAGAGCATGTCACTTGGTGGTTGTTGGCAACTTTCTGGTCTTCTTTGAGATCAGGTGCTGCACTAATTTGCAGAACCATCACAACTACTCTTCATCACTTCTCATCACCAATAAAAGCTTTACTCTAAGAAGGGTGGAAAAGTATGTGTTTGGAGGATTGGGAAACAGACCTTAAGGTGAATAGGATTTTAACAGCACATTAGGTTTACAACTAGTTTTATTGTCCTCAACATTGTCAGAAGTCTGGGGAAATGCTAAATGCTTTGTTTTGAACACAAGTGGAAACAAAATGTGACTGTCAACAGATGAACAGTACTGCTGACTAAACACACTGTGCTGAGTGCACAAAGTCGGCAAACTGAAAAAATGTTTATTTTTTTCTAATGTCTTTGAATTGCAGTAAACATGGGTGTTTCTTCTAACAATAGCAGGTACACAACAGGTTCAGAAAGGATTGTTGATGGTGGCCTTAAAACAGCTCAACAAAACTTTGGCCATAACTCCTACAAAAACAATTCTCATTCTTTTCTAAATAGTGTCCTGGAACTCCATCCAGCTGAAGAAACAAAATGGTCCTTTAAATGTTGTACATGTGACTCTCCTAAAACACAATCAATCTAATGTGATGATTCCTCATTTTAACAAATGTAATCACAGCTCGGCAGGGTTCCACTCATGTAGATTTATGAAGGCAATGGTTTGGAGCATGTAGCACTGCAAGAAATATCATTCACATGCCAATAGGACTTCAAGACAATTTAAAGAATAATATGTAGCTGAATCTGAAATGGCTGATCCATGCTCAGATTTCACTGCTTTGATGCACTGATAGTGATCAATATGTTGGAAAATCCTATCACACACTAACAGGCATTCTTGATGCAATTGATAAGTATAAGAAAATCCCAGCTATTTCTGCAGTTTTGCTATAGCATTACTGTAGCTCAGTGTGTGGGAACTGGTGGTGGGAACACAATAAAACCTCTGGGAATAAGATTTACAGTCTCTTTGCGAGTCCAGATTTGAAAAGTTCCCACAACAGCTTTCTGGAGTTTAGCCACTTTAAATCTGAAAAACTTATTGCTGTCAGAAACTTTTGCACCTGCCTCCTGTTGGTAGTACCTGTAATGAATAGGACTGAAAGGTATCATCTCTTCCTTTTCTTTATTCTTCTTTCCAGTGTTGTTATACCTTAGGTAGCCCTGTGTGCAAGTTGTCCTTATGCTGTCACTTAGCCAGGAAGAAACAGAGGAGGGATCCTCATAAATTTCCACAGAGGAGCTGTGATCCTTCCAATTCTTCATTTTTAGAGTTTGTTATTATCATCACCCACTGAACAAGTGATTTTTCAGAAAATAAATTAGCTCAGCTTTTAAAAATACCAGGTTTAAAAAAATGTTTTTGAATAAGTGCTAATGTTAACAACAAAGTCCTATTGTTCAAGATAATATAGTAGCACAGTATGTAATGTGGGAAACCAAAAATCCACTATGCTTGTATATATGTGTTTTGATCTGATTGGAAATATTGCTGAAACATAGTTCACAATCCAGTGGAAACCTTCTACGGGGTGGGGGAAATACTGCCAGAGTTCATGTAGCCGAGGAAAATTTATGGTGCCTGACCTCATGGTTAGAAACGATCTCAGAAGTATATATTTACCCATTTGTCCCACCCTCAATCCAGATGTGTCAATAAACATGAGATCTTTTATTCCCTTCAAATTAATCAGGTGATGCTTCAGAGTCACCAGCACTAGCAGCAGGTAGAAGGATCACTCACTGGCTGAGAGGGGTCAGTACGTCTGCTTGGATTTTTGGCATTAAGGCTTTTCTCAAATTTTAACCAAATTTACTAACTCACGGGGGGAAACCTGCTGTATGTGTCTTTTATCATCTGTTGATGTAAAGGCATTTGTAATGTAACCAAATAGCTTTGCCTTTATAGGTCCCCAGATTAGTTTCAGCGTCTGGTTTTTTGATCGCTTTTTGTTGAAAACCCTTCACTAAGTTGTAATAAAATGGATTGACAGTGTCACTTCTGTTATTGAAAACAATATATATTTGCTTGGAGATAATGAAACTATTTCCTACCAGTTTTCTGGCATCACATCATAGAAGAAAGAAGTGAAACTATGAAAAAGATTGCATAACTGAAAAAACGCAAGAAAGTGCTACAAATGATGGCAGAGACCATAAAGAGCAGTGACTTTTAAAAAACAAAACCTCAAACCAACTCAAATCTGGACATCAGCGTTGCATCACATTAGTGTATTTTTAGAAACATTTAAAACACAGCTCTTCTGGAGGTTATCCAGTGGCTTTGTCATGATTGCTCATGTGAAATTCAGCTGGTGCCAAGTGGTGGAGTTTTCAGCTCTTGCAGATGAAACAGTGGTGGGTTCGATGCGGGGAAGAGGCGATGTGGGAGGCACTTGCTGTCCTGGGGGTGTGCAATGCGGGAACACTTACAGTTCTCCCCAGCAAACATCCCAGGGAGCTGACAGGTCCCTTAGGTTTGCTCCCACTGAGTTTCCTTGAGATCCTACACTTGCCATCCTGGCTGGGTGAAAAAAGATCTTCGCTGGCAGCCCGGGGGCTGCAGTGACCACTGCTGCTTACTATCACGGGGCCAGTCGGGTGTCCGGTACAGGGATCCTGTCACAAGTGGCACCTGTGTCCCCAGCTAGTGGCCATGAACCCTGCACCACTACATTCCCGGGAACGTTTGGTGATTGCGTCGTGAGATTGTGGTCTCATGGGAAATGTTGTCATCGAGCTGTCTTTTCTTTGCAAGAAAAGACATGATGATTTCCCATGCTTGTCAATCAGGCGGCTTTCCCCAGCACTGAGTTTTAGCAGGTTTTTTTAAATTTCTTTAAAAAAAAAAAATTAAGGCAGCATAACACTTGACATTTAACTCTCTGGTTACCATGGAAATAACACCAGGTATTTTGCAAACTCCTGACAGATACAAGTTACAGTGAATAGTGGAGAATCAAAATAATTTCAGACTCCAGGCAAAAAAAGATGCAGACCTACCTGTATTGTCATACAACACTTAAACCAAAATTCTAGAGTTTAAAACAACTGATGCTTTCTTTTTAAATTATTCAGTCATCTGAACACTTTCTAAAATCCAAAATTAACTATTACGTCTAATTTTTTCAGTAATCTCATGGAAGCAGCAATTCTCTTGAAAAAGTTTAATCTCTCAAGTAATAAACAGCCAAGTTGTAGCTATCCCTAACTGTCCAAATCTTCAAGGTCTCCAGAGTTTGCCTCTTTTAAGCAAGGATGTAATAACTGCCACCCCTCTGCCTTCTGAGTCAGTACAAGTAAATCACACAGTCCTCACTGAGCAAGTCTCCAGTGCAGTCCTTGCTAGAGAAGATTAAAGGGTTTGATCTTGTGCAATAAAGTCCTGTCTTTTCACAGAACACATTCCACATGGAAACCTGCCTGTCTTTTTAGCTAAAGAATATATTCAAAATAAGGAACTAGCCAGCCTGTTGTTTAGCCTAGTTACATGCTGCACTTCTGTGCTCTTGTAACTGGCATGAGCTTGAATGAAACCTTTCCAACAGATCCTGTGCAAACTTTGCAGTAAGTTCCAATTACAACCAAGATTCAAAACCAGCTCTAATAACAAAACCAAAGGCTTTGTCAAACTTCAGGAAACTTAATGTCAGTGATAAAATTTGCAGCTAGCATTAGAGTAGAGGAGGCCATTTTCTCACACTCTGCAATGCCATTACCCTTAACAGATCTACAGTTAAGTTGTTAGCAAGATTTACATGCTTTCCTTAGCATGTCTGGGAAGATGCTCTTCCAAGTGTGGAAAATGATTTGCTTGTACCTATAGAGAAAGGTGTCCTTTATTCCCATAGCTTCAAGGAGCTTCAAGGCTCCTGTTCTTCAACCAGATCGCTCTATGTTTCTCTTGCAGATGCACCAGTCTTTTTTTTTTTGAGGACCCTCTATGTAGTGTCTCAGCTTGGAACTGCAATGTCCTATCTGAAATTATTCGGTTTGATTCAGTTTACTAAAAAAGAAAATAGATGTGTCCATTTTGGAGTGCTCAGTGTATTTACACAGGTTATGGTGGTTTTTCAAAACAAGCAAAGGAGTAAAATGGTGGGCACCACTTAGGGGCAAGTGTTCTAAAAAATGAGAAGAAAATGAAATGGTGGGCTGGTACTGCTCCTGATCAGCGGCCACTTCATAAAGGTCAAGGCACAAAGCCAACTTCTGGAGTGAGAGATCAGAACTGAGAGATGCTTGGAGAATGACTGCCATGTAAATGTTTCAAAATTTATTCTGCATTTCTCTCCTGTTTGTATTTCAGAAAGATGAGAAAGCAACAATAGCCAAGATGAACCGTCAGCGCGCTAATTCCATCAGCCATAACCCGCCACACTGGGGTGTTGACCGGCCCTTTTATAACCACCTTGGAGCTCACCAGGTCTCCAAGGAGATGAAGAGAATGGTAATGCCTTGCTTTATGGATATTAATTTCTTTTCGTCTTAATACAGCATTATATATCCCTTCCTGCTTTGTCTGAAGGTTTTTTACAGCCCCAAGGACGTTTTCCAAATAGGGGTGGTAAATTCTACTTTGACTCCAGAAATAATAATAATTAGTACATCTGGAGCTGAGTGACTGTGAGATGAGGCACAAGGTTGTTTGAGAGGGGAAGGGAGGCTGAAGGGCACAAAGAAGGCTCTTTTGTCTGACTTGTCCCACGTTCTGAAAACTCATCCAGGCTGTGTGAGAAGATGTGATTATCTACAAAAATTGCTCAGAAACCCAAGCATTCAAACAACAGCTGACATACATTTCTACTAGATCATTACAGACTTCAGCACCTCAAAGGTTTCTTGCTTGCATTATAACAGCCAGATGCTGTTCACCTTCTATAAGTTACATGTCCATGTATACTCATGGGTCCCCAGCAATCACACTGCTGTGTTTAACTTTCAAGAATACATTCTCGAGTACATGGATTAATTGGCCTAAGGTAGCAGGCATCTTCATTTCTTGCTTATACCTTTCAGTACTTCTAAATTAAAATGAACAAGAGCTAGTTACCCACACAATTGGACTGAGAGCACTTTTATGGCTTATTTTACATAAAGTTGTAGATGGTATCTTTGCTTCCTGCAATAAAGATTAGGAAAAGAAAGTTTCTATTATAATGGCTATTTGTAATAATAATAAAAATATTTAGCACCTGTATAATTGCATGCATAATCAGATTGCTCTATGACCTTATTAATGTTGTTCTGACCCTTCATGCACAGTCAAAAGTGTGTATTTGTTGCCCACTTCGTTGCCCATAGTCAAAGTTCTGCTCCAGGTCACCAAAGCCTTAAAGTATTCAAAGAATTTTTTAACACGAGATTCACTCCCACAGCTTAAAACTTTGGACATAGCTATAAGCAACTGCATATGGTGTCTTCTAATGGGAAATGCTGGCACATTTATTAATAGTTGGTGCTAATATTATTCAATCATAATATTATTTTACAGTGCTAAACCAAATTTCTTAATCTCCATAGTAATGTTTCTTTCATTTCTCAGATCTCCAAATGAGGGCTTCTGACATAAGCATACAGATCAGTGGAACTGTGCATTTTTTATGTGGGCTTTTCAATAGGGTGTGCTTAATAGGCATGACATTATTAGAAGAGCCTAATCACGCTAGCACATAATTATAATTATAAGTTTCTTTGAATAGCTTTTAAGAGGTTCTTGCAGCCTCCTGTTCAGAAACAAGGTGTAAGCATGCCAAATGGTATTATGCTTCTTGGTGTTAATTACAGTTTGCCGTGTCTAGCTGGTTGTTCAGTTGGAAAAACATAATTATTTATTGAAATATCAAGCTGAGTCCTAAAAAATTCACTGCCCCTCACTTGTAGGAGGAAAAGCTTCTCTTTTTTTTTTTCCTCCTTATCTTGAACCTTTCCCTGTAATGATATTTACCTTTTTATAAATTCAGCAGCTCAGAAAATCTTTTCCACTCAATCTGCTTCTGTACTGCCTCTTGTATTAAGCTCTTTTTTGAGAGGCTGATGTTGCAGGTGTCAGGCTATTTCTTGAAAACCAATTTAAAGCTGATTCAGATGTATTATTTTCAGCTAGACTTCTTGTTGGTCTTGGGGACTGTTTTTTTTAAAATCTGTTATTTACTGTATTTCCCGATGCTTTATGTTTGAAATGCGTTAGTCAAAATGAAAACGTGCTGCTCTCTGTGGCCTAGAGACCATTTTAATATCTGCTAGATGGACATTTTATTGATTAGATCATACGAACAATTTCTCCATCTCCTGTCTCAACTCTTTCTCTCTGTGTTAACTTCTAATTTAAATATGCATTTCTTTGTACCACCCAGCTTTGCACAGTACTTTATTTGTCTGTAACCTCTGTTACATGGATGCTGTGTGTGCTTAAATGCATGCTGGCTGCACGCACGTGCACACTGTCTGCAAACTGCCTGCTTAGAAATACAGAATACAGACAGACAGAAGGGGAGCAGAACTACAAAGGCTTTTTTCAATGCTCCTCTGGGATAACATGTCATTGATCTTGGTAAGCTGTACCAGCTCTTAAAGCTCCTGAAAATGTGCTCTTTGTTCCACATCACCCACCTTTTCCCCAGACCTCTTGCATGTAATTATATGTAGCCTTTTTTCTTGGAAACTGTGAATGTGTAAGGTTGGATTAGTCAAAGTAGTATGCTGAAGGCAGGCAGTGCAATGTTGCCTTTCTCTTTAAAACCTGGAGCTCCTTAGCCCTGTAATTTCAAAGCAAGTGTTTATAAGGGTTATTATGAGATAGTCCTCAGGCAGGAGCCAGGTAATGTTGCAGTGATGTGCAGTTACATTATATGGATATGTAGATATGAATGCATTTGTGTGTAGGGAGTAATATGGATGGTTATAAAGGACAGAGTTTTTTGTCACAAACTTAGAACATTTTGCATTATGAAGACAACCATATTTCCAGAAAAAAGAGACAGTTTTTTGTGGCGCTACTTACAATTCCCCGAAAGAGAATATTAAAGTTCCCTGAATTGCATTTTTGGGAGGGAACTGTTGTATTTAGTAGAAAACAGAATTGTTTTGGCCATTTTTCTTTCCTTTGAACGTTGGCTTTGGTAGCTGTCTCTATTCTTAGGATATATCACCCATCTTAGTCCTGGGTGAGATGGATGAGTATCAAAGGTAGCATATACTCCTTTCCCCCCCTCCTCCTCTTTTGTCATGGCATTTCAACACACTGCCATGTCTGGGCACATCGGCAGTGCATCCGGCGGGGTTTGTGTGGGAGGGCAGCCTGGCCGGTGGCATGGGGAGGTCTTTGGTCCCTGCTTCTCTCCATGTTGTGGCTTGGAGCTTAACCTCTGCTGGGTCCAGCTGACTTTCCACGGTGCTCCTAGGCTAAGTTGTTCCCCTGGGCACACAGGAGTTTATTCAGGCACTTGCACACACACATAAATAAGACAAAATATCCCACACGTGTCTGTGCAGCAGTAATCTAAAATGTCCTGGAAAACTGGAGTTATTTTCCTAGTCCTGCCCTAGCTAACTGGCGTCTGAGTCAGCTGGTATTGCAACTGTGCCGGCTCATCCCGTCCTGCCCAATAGCCCCTCTGTCTCCCTCATGCACCGGTCTGCTTTCCAGACCATCCCCAATCCTTCTTTTTCCCCTCCCATTGCTTAGCAGTGGCCTTTCTTGCTGTGCAGAGCCTCCAGGGAGGCAGCAAGCAGGAGACACTAACGTTGCCCATTGCTGACCCTGACCCCCATCAGCTGGAGGAGCCACTGCCTGGAAAAAGCTGGTCCTCGGGACCGTGCTGAGTTGCGCTGCCAGGTCGGTGGCTTCGCCTAGAAAACTGGTAAATTTGCAGCAGAGGAAGATCAGATACAAATGGCGTGGGAGCCTTGCTCTGAGCTGGCAGCCTCTGCTGGAGCCCTGGCCCTGGGAGCCCGTGTTGTTGGACAGGGCGGTGCTGCCGGCATGGAGCGGGTGGAGGGCTGCCTCGCTCGCCCTGGGCAGGCGGAGAAGCCTGGACAGAATCAGCTTTGTGGCTGTATGCAGAGTATGAAAAGAGCCAGAACACAGCAGAAGAGCAGCATAGCTGCTTTCTATTTTTATTGCTTTTTACAGCATGTTTTCTTGTTTCCTAAACAAAAGCGGTCGGTCCAGGACCAGTGACTGTATCTCTCTGGAAATGCAGACTTTTGTACTGCTCGTGATGTACACAAAGGAGCAGCATTCCCCCAAGTCTCCGTATAGCAGCTTTATCTTCCCCACTGTCTCTCTGGTCCAGTTTTTAATTGCAAAAGGGTAAAAAATAAATGCACTTGAAAGCATTTGAGAGTACAGGTATATTTATAGCTATAACAATATTTATACACCACTAATACTTTGCTTTTCCCAGTATAGATTTCAGAGTGCTTTTATAAATATTGATGCATTTTAGACTTCTGGAAATAATACTCATGTCTCAGTTTTCATCAGTGAAACAAAACTACTATTAAAAAAATCAATTTGGGGATGGTAGTTGAATGTAAACTGAAAGAGGTTTGTTTTAAACAGCGCATGTTGCTTTAAATGCAAATGTTGATACCTTTCAAAATTACAGGGCTGTTCTAGATGACAAATGATTCTCTTGCATCTTTTACCCTGCTCAGCATTATTAAGGTCGTAGCTGGAAAAGCACATCCCTTTTGGGATTACAATCCTTTAGGAGAATGTGGATGAATTGGAGATAATCCAGTGGAGAAAATTACAAATTAGGAGGGTTTCAACAGTGTGACCTGTGAAGAAGTGTTGAAGTATTGGGTTTGTTTAGTCTAGAAGGGAGAAGACTGTTTAGAAACAAAAGTCTTCAAATACATGAAGGGTTTGTAAGGACAGAAAATAATGATAAATCATTCTCCATGACTGCAAAGGACAGGATTAAAAATAATCATCTTAATTTGCTGCAAGGAATATCTAAGTTAAGAAAAAGCTTAGATGCAAGGAATAGGCTGTATAAGGAGCTTGTGAAATTCCTGATTTTCTTGAAAACATTTTATTTATTTTATTCAGGGCTTTTCAGTCTGGAAGGGCATCACAAAATCCTTTGCAAATATAGAAACAATAATGTAAAAAAATCTGTATTAGGAGAATTAATAATTCTCCTAATAAAAAATAAAGAATATAAGAATAATATGAGATAGATGTAAAGATTTTACGAAGTTTCCAATCTAGGCTGCACAGAACTTCGAGGCATCGATCTACCCCCTTACACAGGAGCCAGCTATACCCGCAGCATTTCTGACAGATACTTGTCTAGCCCTTGTTTAAAAACCTCAAAGGATGGAAATCCCACAGTCTTGCTGGGCACCCTTTTCAACACTTTGATTATTTTTCTTAATGTTTTGCTCACTTCAATTTTAAAACACAGTGCTGCGTGAGCTATTCACAGTAGGTAGAGG